AAAATTCTACGCACCGGTCACTTCTCTTCCTCTACCTTCCCAAGCTCAGAACTCACCGCCCGACATTAATGAAACACCAATCAAAACAAAACAAACGTGGACTGGCATGCGTCTAACCGGAACCGTCCGTCGCTCGCTCGGTATCAAGACTCCTTTGAACGTGAACTCAACGTACAGGCACAAACTTGAAATCGAGCAACAACGAACGGAAAAGAAAGGAAGATTTGCACCATTAGTGATACCGAAGAGTTTACAGAAGCAACTACCGTATAAAGGCAAGCCGAAGCTCATGCTCAAGCAAGGCGGAAGTGGTAGCGACGGCAAGAGAAGACAAAACTATCTTCAAAAGCGTGCAGTGGTTCTCGAACCAGAAGAAAAACGGGCGGTGGCATTGCTCCAGAAAATCCGTGCATTAAGGAAAGATCAAGTGCAGAGGAGGAAGGAGAAGAAGGAGGCAGGGAAAGAGAGAAAGAGGAAGGAAGAAGAGAAGAGTGAAGAGAGGAAGATGGAAAAGGAAAGAGAGAGGAAGAACTTGGAGGTTATGAGGAATGTCGGAATGGGTGGGAAGAGGTATAAGAGGGAGGCGGAGGCAATGGAAGGTGGAAGAAGGAAGAAGAGAAAGACGGGTTAGATGTTTTTGACGAATATCTTACTATATGCAAAAATGTTGGTAATTCGTTCGTGTAGCGCTGATGTACAACGCAACATTGGTAGCTGTACTCACTTACGCTTAGCTACTATTTGTTCCAAAGGCCATCTTATGAGGGCTGTATGGATCTCTTCGCATCCCCATGTCATCATTTTCGTGGTCAAAAAGTGTGAAGGTAACTCCCAAACAGATACTCTACAGTTGTGGGCCATAGACAATCACTGGTAACATCGGCATTGGCATAGGCCATCCCCCCTTCCCCACTTTGGCATAGGCTATCACCTTCGTTTATTAGTTGCCACGAAACTTTTTCTCCTTATCCTGAATCCCTTTAAAATAGAAGCGGAGTCCAGAAGTTCATCACGTTTCTCCAGCGTCTCCAACGCAGCTTCAACGTAATCCCAACAATCTCCACCAGTCTCTTTGTATGGAGGCAATTCTATGGAAAGCAAAGCCTGCAAAGCCTGCTCGTGATCGGCTGAGCTTTTGAACTTTGCTTTTCCCAGTGGGGTCCAATCGTAACTGCGAATGACGTCTTGTATCTCCTTGGGACGCAGTTGGGTATGTGATTTGTCAGTCCAGCTTGCGTGAACTCTCGTAACGCCAATGGCTAGAACCGCGTGTATGACCACCTCATTTTCAAGTATATCAAGACCAAGTCTAATGTCCAATTCACCAGAAGTGGGCAAGGGTGACCCAGACGCTGTCAGCATACTCACGCAAAGGTAGAGTACAGTGAACAAGCGTGAAGCAGTGACCAGGAAGAGCATTTTCCGAATGATTCAGACGCGAGACGTTCAAGGGCAGGGTAGGTCAAATCTACTTCACACTGAGTGTGACCACCGTAAATATAACCAGAAGATATTCCAAGTGTTCAATAGACGTACCAGGGTCACACTGATCCGTCGTGAGTTGTCCAACGATTGCTGAAAAAACAGAAGGCAGAATATGCCAGTGGAGTGCAAGTCGGAATGTTTTTTTTTAGTTATCTAGTCCCATCGTTGAGTAAAGGCTAAAGAACTTGCAATGAAACTCGGAAACATACCGAGCAGTTGCAAAAATCAATAGGAATGTGCTACCAGGTCTAAACTGCCAGAGTGAGAACGGGAGACAAAAGCTATCGTGACACCAAGTAAGGAATTGGAAGAAGACCGAATGCATGGTAAAGCTCATACCGAACCAGCGCAAAGTGTACGAGTATATAACGAAGCTAAGTGTGTTGGAAGAAGGATGAGGGGACTATCTTTCATCACGCCCTGATACTTATATCTTCTCGCTTGACCTGAGATAGCTTGATGATTGCCAATGAAGAAATCATCAATCGAGAGCGGTGTGGACTCACTACTATGGTGTCCATCTTGCGAGCATTTCAGTGAGCCGACGGAAGGCAACAATGTGAACTCGCACAAGCCGGAATTGTCCTTGTTCTTTCTAAGTCTTTGGGACGTCGCATAAATTATCAGTCTCGATTACACTTCGTCCTGAATGCATTTTATCTGCAGTCACAATATCAATGCGTTATTCCGCATGTAAGAAAATAATTCAAGTTCGCCACAAACCGGTTGAATGCCTGGCTGGACCCATGAACCTGTTAGAGACTCAGCGATAAAGCACGCGAAATTGTGGATGAACTGATGGGGCATTGAAATTGTCATCAGGAAAGGCACCACCAAAGCGAGGCCCTGGCATAGACGACACACAATACCAACGCGGTCCCATCATAAACAAGAATTGACGCAATCAAAACGACAATAGTAGCTTTTACAGTAGTGCTTTTGGGTGCTTGTGTAATGAAAGAAAGTGAGTTCGTGCGACGTGCCACGGTACAGGGCCAGGGTAACATCGTCATTGGGCATCACCTCCATCGAGACCAATAGCTTCTTCCAGTATGAGATGCGAGAGATTCGCTATAACAGTAGCGGGGGCCTCAAGTTCATTGCGTCCCTCAGGGGTCTTCAACACAATTGCAAGATAATCCTGACATTTCTACCAGTCTTGTTGTACGTAATCATTTCTACGGGAAGCAACTTGTGACTTTCTAGTTCTTTCTACGGGAAGCACTGAGATGACTTTCTAGTTCTTCCTTCTCCCGCCTGGAATTCTCTACCACAGAATCGGGGTTCAGAAGTTCATCGCGTTCCTTCAGGGTCTCTAACGCAGATTGAATGTAATCCCAAGCTTTTCCACCAGCCTCTTTGTATGGAGGCAATGTAATGGAAAGCAAAGCCTGCAAAGCCTGCTCTTGATCGGCTGGGCTTTTGAACTTTGCTTTTCCTAAATGAGCCCAATGGCTATCGCGCCTTATTGTGTCCTCTTGCGTCTTCACTACAATCTTTTTGGGTTTCATTTGCTTGCGTGCCATGTCAAAAAAGTCTGCATGTATCATTGTATCGCCAATTGCTAGAAACGCGTGGCTGATCATCGCATTGTGGGATACCTCAAAACCGAGGTCGACGTCCACACGGTCTCCATCGAAGTAAGTCGTGCCATGAATGGCCAAAGGTGACCCAGATGCTGTCAGCATACTCACGCAAAGGTAGAGTAGAGTGAACAAGCGTGAGGTAGTGACCGCGAAGAGCATTTTCTGAATGATTTAGACACGAAACGTTCAAGGGCGGGGTAGGTCAAATCTACTTCACAGTGTGACCACTGTAAATATAACCAGAAGATATTCCAAGTGTTCAATAGACGTACCAGGGTCACAATCCGTCGTGAGTGTCCAACGATTGCTGAAAAAACAGAAGGCAGAATATGGAGTGCAAGTCGGAATGTTTTTTTTAGTTATCTAGTCCCATCGTTGAGTAAAGGCCAAAGAACTTGCGATGAAACTCGGAAACATACCGAGCAGTTGCAAAAATCAATAGGAATGTGCTACCAGGTCTAAACTGCCAGAGTGAGAACGGGAGACAAAAGCTATCGTGACACCAAGTAAGGAATTGGATGAAGACCAAGTGCATGGTAAAGCTCATACCGAACCAGCGCAAAGTGTACGAGTATATAACGAAGCTAAGTGTGTTGGAAGAAGGATGAGGGGACTATCTTTCATCACGCCCTGATACTTATATCTTTTCGCTTGACCTGAGATAGCTTGATGATTGCCAATGAAGAAACCATCAATCGAGAGCCGTGTGGACTATGGTGTCCATCTTGCGTGCATTTCAGTGAGCCGACGGAAGGCAGCAATGTGAACCTCGTACAAGCCGAAATTGACCTCGATTCATATGTTCTTTCTTTGGGATGTCGAATAGATTATCAGTCTCAATTGCACTTCGTCCTGAATGCATTTTGTCTGCAGTCACGGTGTCAATGCGTTGCTCCGCATGTAAGAAAATAATTCAAGTTCGCCACATACCGGTTAAATGCCAGGCTGGACCCATGAACCTGTTAGAGAGCGATAAAGCACGCGAAATTGTGAGAGTTTGGAGATGGGCTGATGGGTTGGCATCAGGAAAGGCACCACCAAAGCGAGGCCCTGGCATAGACGACACACAATACCAACGCGGTCCCATCTATGAACAAGAATTGACGCAATCGAAACAACGATAGCCTTTACAGTGCTTTTGGGTGGTTGTGTAACGAAAGAAAGTGAGTTCGTGCGGTGTAGATCAGATGAGGCGACTTATCAGCCAAGGCGGTGAGAGTCCATCAGCGCCTATTAACCTCACTTGCTCCCAGTGTTGCACTAAAACCAGTCCTTTGCGTTACCTCTACCTGTTCTCAGATCCTGTTCTCAGATAATACAAAAGGATAGCTAGTACCAATAGCATAGCTGGGAATCATCTGCAGTACCATTCAGAAGGAATAGAATGATTGGAGTAGAAGCAATAACAACTCAGGGAGCATGTGGAAGCACAGGAAAGATATATAAACACCTCCTGCATGTGGTATCCCAGACCAAGGGAGTAGTAAGTTGTAACCGTGTGCAAAGGAATAAATCCCTCAGCACTGCCTCAAAACACAAATACAGCAGGTACAAGGAGAAGCTACGGGAAGAACAGCCACCCTTATGCCATTTGGACTATAGTACTCTTGCAAGATTTCAGTGAGCTGATGGAACCAAATGCAACTTGAAGTATGCATGAGCGTAGCAAAGTTGCGAAATTCGGAAAAGGAGGTCTGAGCAGATGCAGCCCCGTTTTTCTCCTTGCACCAGGAAGCGAAAAAACTATGTAAGAATGGTAAGCAAGTCAAACCGATACTCACTAATTGACCTTGAGCTGTTGCCGGAGGCTATCTCACATGCCACTGTTCGTCCGCCGTAGCAAAGGCAATGAGTACAGCAACAAGAAAATAAAATGTGAACGACAAGTTCATTGAATCGTGAAAGCAACATTCATGTGCCATTCTATCATTCCCCCTAGCCGACTTGAACGACTGACCTCGTCATCTGAACTTCATACGAGTGACGCGCTCTACCAACTGAGCTAAGGAGGAGGCGTGCATTGTTGCTCGGCGTAAGAGTTCGAGAAAAATGACCCTGAATATTCGAAGCTACATACTGCAGAGACGTTTGAGTGGGGCAGAAATAATTTGAGCATTCAATGTATGTATAACATTGGTCAATGACGTCTGGTGTTTGTTGCTATTGACTGAAACTGGAGACGAAGGAAGGAAGGTAAGACCTGACGTCAGTCGCGAGACATGATATAAACACTGATATGCAGTCTACTTGTAACGAATAAATCTCATCAACATTTGGCGGTTTCATTCGTAAATACACTATACCCATCTCAGCAATGATTTCCATTCTCAGTCGATTCACGAGAGGCCCCACCAAGGCAGCATATGCTCGAGCCAGCCTCATTCGCCCAGCTACGATGCATACGCCAACATCAATCGCCACTCTGTCCACCCTCTCCTCATCGCTCAATCACCCTTCAGCCAATCCCAGATCCTTAACTCAGTACCAAGCCCTTCCTCGTTCCATATTAGTCCGTACCGTTGCTTCCACAGTCTCCAATAGACCCGCCTCCCAAACCTTTGACCACGCCGCGGTAAACATTCGCGAAGAAGCCAGCAACAGTGCGGCAGACATCGCGAAAACTATTGCAGGAGGAAACATACCTGCTTCCGATCATTCGTTCGTGGCTATCACTTCCTCACTCGCTTCATCCGTCCCCAAGCCAGTCTTGGCGTTTGGTCTTCTCGGCACTGTGCCGTACGTTGGAGCAGGAGCGACGACTGTATACCTCGCCAGTGTCGCTGGTGCCGCTGCAGCTGGTCATCCAACTTCGATCGATCCGGGTGTGGCGCTCACTATGCTCGACCAAGCGTTAAATATTCAAGTAACGTATGGAGCCGTCATGCTCTCCTTCCTTGGTGCACTTCATTGGGGCATGGAATTCGCTAAACCTCGCCCGGTTCAGTCGGAGTCTATCCGTCGCCTCTTGCTCGGTGCTGCGCCCATCTTTTTTGCTTGGCCTACGCTAGCTTTGCAACCAATGACTGCTCTTCTCGTACAATGGGTTGGATTCACCGGTCTATGGTGGGCTGACGCCACTGTTTCTGGAATGGGTTGGACACCAGCGTGGTACTCTCAGTATCGATTCTACTTGTCCATTCTTGTTGGAACGTGTATCATCGGTTCACTCGCCGGGACCTCGTACTACGGTCCAGTCGCTGGGCACGGATTTCTGTCGCACGATCTTGAATTGACAAGGGAGATGAGGAAGAACTTGAAGGACGAAAGGGAAGGAACAGTTAGTGGAGTCGTCGAGGCTTTGCCGGCTGACCAGTCATCTGGAGCATATGTGATGTTGAAGAAGAGAGATTTAACCAAGGAGAAGCAAGAACAGCAGGAGAAACAAAGGGAACAAGCCGCAAAACAGGAAGCAGAGGAAATCAAGAAATCGCAGAAGGATGCGAAGCGGTCATGATTATATCGTTAAACCAACAATATAAAATACGAGACGTACCGGACTCAAATTCTGTGTATTTGTACCACTTCCTGCATGGCCTCGAAGCTTTTGTAATACTCTCCGTAGCAATGAAAATTAGAAACATTAGATTATCGAATGATCTCGACCTGGCCATAGGACGATATATAGCTTTAGGGTATACGAAAAATATCGTCGTGTAGATCAATCACCCTTTCAAGTCAAGTTGTTGGATATTCTATTAGCGTGCATGAAGATTCTTAGATTACCACGCTTACTAAGCGTCTTACGGCCCTAAAACACCGGGGCATGTTGGTATCATCAAACAACCCTGAATACGCTGGGCGAAAGCTTTATGATAGTAAATTCGACTCGAAGTGTCATAAGGCCGCAGAGTATGCCTTCGGAAGATTTAGCGAAAGCATATATGTGGCTATCACTTGCGGCCCAGACTCAAACAAGCAGCAGCACCGGTGAAACGGCTTGCAATTAGCTATCTCTATTTGCTGTAGGATGTTAAGGAGAACATTGAAGGTAAATGCAACCCAAGAAATCCGGAAATTCGACTGACCAGGTGAATTTAGCAAACATATATGAGCGAAGGCGGCTTCCCCCTTGGTCAGTTGTTCTGGATCATAGCAAGTCTGATGTAGAAATTTCCATTTACGATGATCACTTGGTAGATTTCTACCTTCAAGCGTATTATTGACAAAAATGGCTGCCTCGAGCTTAGGGTGGTGCTTTGGACGTAGCAAACTCACACTTCTCGGTTCTGAGTTTGTCTTTTTTCGGTATATCGACAAATCTTCCTAGTGAGTGCAAAGCGGCCGAACTATTTTTCATTGCATGACCGGTCCATAAAAATTGATATCATCAACCTTAATGCTAACCCCACAGAGCAGGTGGGTACCATGCTTTCACAGCACGGTACCTGGTAAATTCCTTTGCGATACATTTCGCCTTCTCGTAAAGCGTATCAATATCGTTATTACAACTCATCCTACGCCATTTGGTCAACTGATGCAGCCGCTACTACCGTACACATGAATCTTTCGAAGATACTGGTCATAAGATCGCACTAGCTGCCTCCTTTGACCGCAATGCTCCTCAACGGGCCGTTCATGATTCAACAACCTACGTCTTCCAGCGATGCCGGTATAAATTGAACTTCAAACCAATAAATTTCTGCCAAGGTTCTCCTTCTTTCCGCGAAGTTCCTCCTCGATCAGTAACCAATGGCTCGTTTTAGGGCACATTCTCTCAAAGTTGGAAATCGTGTTACCGATGCTGCCCAATTAACGCTAAGGTAGACACAGTCTCTCGTCAGGATAGCAAATTTCTCATTCACCGCAGGGAGACATTATTTCCTCTGTTCCTCGTCACTATTCTGTACTTTCTCTGGGTACGTACAATCATTTCGGATAAGCCGCACAATCGACACCCATCTTCTCTTTATAGGGCTTCGCTTATGGCCTACTTGATACCCTCAACAAGCATTTTCAGAATACTCTAGGGATCACTCGTACACGTTCCTCTGGCCTTCAAGCAGCCTATTTTGGTGCATATCCCCTCGCTTCTCTAGGATACGCCAACTGGGTTCTACGTCACTTCGGCTACCGTGCCACCTTCATCCTTGGGCTAACCCTCTATGGTATCGGTGCTTTCATGATGTGGCCCGCTGCCCTCAAACAATCTTTCGGTGGTTTCTGTGGTGCGACATTCATCATCGGCAGCGGCCTAGGCTCGCTCGAAACTGCTGCCAACCCCTACATGGCAGTTACTGGTCCACCCAAGTACTCCGAGCTTCGTATAAACATTGCTCAAGCCATCCAAGCTATCGGGACAGTCGTCGGCCCTGTGCTAGGCAGTTATGTATTTTTCGACGAAACCGGAGACTCTGTCAATGCATTGAAAACTGTACAATGGGTGTACCTTGCCATCGGGTGCTTTGTTTTTTGTCTCGCCGTCGTGTTCTTTTTTAGCGTCATTCCTGAGGTGACGGATGCCGACATGAGCCAACAAGCTGATTTAACACATGGAACGAAAGGGGACGATGAAAAGCCGTTTTGGAAGCAGTATAGACTCTTCCATGCTGCTTGGGCACAGTTTGCGTATACAGGCTCACAAGGTCAGTATTTTACGCCTTGATAAAGATCCGGGAGGCAAATTGACGCGACTCCCGGTTTGCAGTCGCTATCGCGGGATACTTCATCAATTATGTCACAGAGATTAGACCCAACACCTCCTCTGCACTCGGAGCCAAGTTTCTCGCGATTGCTCAAGGTTGCTTTGCAGCGGGAAGGTTTTCCGGTAGTGGTATGTATTGAAATTTGATTTTCATGTAATAGATTGCTGATTTTTCCTTTTTCGCGTCTTGATCGAACGAAATAAAAAATTCTCAACTTCCCAATTAATTGCATTCTCTATCGATTCAAACACACCTTTCTGTCCTTCCATTCTAAACATAAAGGTATAATGAAATTTATCCGACCGCGATGGGTTTTCCTCTGCTACCTCTCTTGCGTTATCATCTTCTGTGCCGCCTCTATTACACAACGGGGAAATACCGGACTCGCTTTACTCACGATGACCTTATTCTTCGAAAGTGTATGTTTCCCGACAATCGTGGCTTTGGGTATCAGAGGGTTGGGTAGACATACAAAGGTATGTATGGTAGAGATTTCCGCCTGGTTAAATTGAAGATTCATTGTCTTACAGAGAGGCTCCGGTGTAATCGTTGGAGGTGTCGTCGGTGGAGCTTGCAGTAAATCTTTCTCCTTGACTCCCTTTCCAGTCTGACTGTCTTCTTTCCTTGGATTTCTAGTACCTCCAATCCTCGCCTCAGTCGCCGACCGCCGCAACAGCACCGCGTTTGCCATGATCGTCCCCGTCATGTTCTTCATCTCCGCTGAAACCTACGCGTTCGCTGTGAACTTTGTTCCGAGCTATAGAGATCGCGCGGATAAGATTGGTGAAAGCGCCGTACTCAAGAGTGACATTGAGAAAGGTGCTGATTTGTCCGAAGAAGGAAGTGTTGATGATAAAGCGGTTGTTTACGAACAAGAAAATGCTTGAAGGGCAAAACACGGCACGAATGTTGATGATTATGTTCTTGGTTTACGCTCTGTATATGTGTACCATGCGATTGTACTTCTATAGATTGAGACAATAATGAAGGATGACAAACACATACGACTCGCAGTCAAATCGTTATATCGAGTTCGAGCTGTCGTTCGGCATGGAGAACCTACAGTGCGGTGCCTTGACCATAATTGGAGACCAGTATATGATTTTTATTGAACCAAAGATGCGTGCAGATTCTCATTCAATGTACTCTCTATCTGAACGAAATCCTTCCCATGAGCCTTCCAAAACCTTTGTAGGACTTTCTTCCTCTCAGGCGACGAAATTGAAAAATAGACCTTCTGTAGCGTGGGAGGCCAAACCGACTCTACATCGGAAGACTTCGACTCTGGATCGGCATTCAAAGGATCAACGGAAGCGGACGACTTTGGTTTGCCCGGCCTTAGTGTTATTGGTACATCTTCCTGAGCGGGT